CGCTCCCAAGCAGTGCACTGTAGCAGTGCGCCACCGGGCCGGCCCCTCTCTCCCCTTTTTAGTTAGATGTTTCTTGTTTGTTTCTTCTCTTCTCCCTCTTCTTCTCTTCTTCTTTTTCTCCTTTTTTAAAAAAATTTCCTTTGGTATATAATTCCTTGTAAGCTTTTCATCTCATTTTTTAAAATTTTGGGGCTTCTATTGAATTTGAATTATTCAAATTCAATGCTACATTTTTCTATCAATATTGAGAATTAACCAGTATTCTACATTATGTTCCTGAACAATATAATGCTTTTACTTCTCTCCCTGCTTTATCTCCTATTCAGCCTCCAATGTTGAGATAGTGTGGTACTTTAATGTATAGTATTCATATTACATTTTCAAAACAATCATCACTTGCTTAAACAAATATAAATTTTACTGGTTTCCTTATTCACTTCCATTTCCTTCCTCTCACATATTCCTCTTGAATTTATCTTTCATTCTGCTGAAGTTCATCTTCTAGTCATTCTTTCAGAAGGAATTTTTGGACAGTAAATTTTCTGAGTTTTTGCATATTATAAGGTTTTTTAAATTTGTTTTGTTGTTTTGTTTGGTTTTTGTTTTGCCTTCCTACTTGAATGATAGTTTGCTGTTTGGGTATAAAATACCATAGGGCATAATCATTTCCCCTGAGACTTTTGAAAATACTGCTCTTTTATCTTCTTTCACTCAGTTCTGTCAATAAAAAGTCTAATTTCAGTAACAGACTCATATTTTTGCAGATAATTGGATTTTCTTTGTTCTCAGTACACTCAAATTTTACTCGGATTTTTCTGGATGCATTTGGCTTTGCATTTATCTCACAAGATCCTTCTTTTTAAGCTAAGGTCTAGTGTCTTTCTGCAGCTCCAGTAAGTTTTATTCTCTCTCTTTTGATGCACCCTTTTAATTGTTCTGTCTGTACTTTCCTTCTAAAGTACCTATTAAATGAATGTGAGAATTTCTGGATCTTTCCTCCAAGCCATGATCTTTTATACTTCTGAATATTGTCATACCAGGTGACAGAATGCCTTGCCCCTTTCCCCGACTGACAAGCTCCTCCATGTCCAGGCTGAGACATCACTTGCTGGCCATTACAATTTTCTCTTTTTTTTTTTTCCTGAGTTCCAAAAGTACCCTGTTCACACTGCTAAAATAACACTTGCTTACCCTGCTTGCCTGTGATTTCCTCTGATTAAGGGCCATATCTTTGTCTTCTGTGTTTTTCCACAGTGTCTAGTACCATGCGTTAGAATAGGGAACATTTACAGAACATTTACAAGTCTGGACACGGTTCAAAGTGTTTTACATACAATAACTCATTGGAAAGTCACAGCAACCCTTTGTAGTCACCATCCTCATTATACAGATGAAGAAACTAAGATAAAGATGAGTCACTTGTCAGAGGTCACACACAGATAGTAAGCAGTAGACCTTAGCCAGCAAGTTAGAGCCCACACTCTTAACAGTGCTGAATGAGCGATTCCATCCACAAAGGAGCACATTGGTAGGTGTGGTGGCTTGTTATGGTGAGAGCAACTAGGTCTGAAAAATCTAGGATGGAGGTGCAGAGTTTAAATGAATAAAGCATCCACAGGGTATGATGAAAGCAGCAGGTGTCTGACACCGCCCTCTAACTGAGAAAGCTTTCTCCTGTTCCGCTGTGTCTCTCCTTCTGAGACCAGCCTTTCCTTATGACCCTCGGTCCCACTTACACCCAGACTAAATGGACCCAGACCAAGTCCTTACAGGAGTGGGAGTGATCGACATGATCAGACTGAAGCTTAACAGAGGTCTTTCTTGCTAAGAAAACCAGTGGGCAGCTCTGACCCACTTCCCTGGAGAGCTCAGACCATACCACCAAGAGTGCCCCACTTGTCCACAGACAGAGCAAAGGCAGCTTGTCCCCTCTTGGTGAGGGACACAGCCCTTGACCTGCCGTCGCTCTGATAGGCCCCACTCTCACTTGCTCCCTGCTGCTCCCTGAAGCACGTGGTGATCGGGAGATGCCACCCAGCACAGCCGCTCACTCATCAGAAACACCTGCTTTGCTTCATTTAAACAGGAAAAGTTTTCCTTTTTACTATGCCTAACCAGTTGGAACTTAAATGAGATTTTTCAGCTATCTGACTAATTTTATTGTATGATCAATAATAAAGATTAGTGAATACTTGGTTTTTGTATGATTATAATCAATTTTATTGTTAAACTTAGCTTAAAGAAACTTATCTTCATGAGAAAAATATCGGACTAATCCCAGTTGAAAACATTCTGCAGTATACCTGACCAGGGCTCCTCGAAACTGTCAATGTCACCAAACACAAGGAATGTCTAAGAAACTGTCACAACAAAGAGGAGCCTACAGATATGTGATGAGTAAGTGTTGTGTGGTACCCCAGATGGGATCCTGGACCAGAAAAAGACATTAGGTAAAAACTATGGGAATCCAAATAATGTATGAACTTCAGTTAATAATAATGTAGCGCTATTGGCTCATTAATTGTGACAAATGTACTGTACTGATATAAGATGTTAATAATAGGAGAGCTTGGTGTGGGGCCTATGAAGACTCTCTGAACTATCCCTCACAACTTTTTGGTAAATATACAGCTGTTCTAAAATAAAAACTTTATTTAGAAATATATAAAGAAATTAATCTCTAAGAATGAAAAGTTCCTTAATCTCACCTCCTCCAAATTTTGGAATGGGGTAAACAACTATTAGCCCATTGTACAGATGAAGAAACTGAGGCCTAGCAAGGTTAAACAATGTATCCAGCTCACAAAGCAGCATTTGGCTGTAGAGCCCATATACTCTACCACTACTCTGTACTGTGGAGAGGGGGGACCACAAATTCTGAAAAAATCACGAATCAGTTGAAATTCCCGGACTGTGAACACTCAAACCCAAAATACTCTAAAAAGTGAAGCTGGGATGTTCATGGCCCCAGCAACCTCCCCACACTCCGCATATACAGCCTGGAAGATGTGCCACTCATTTGTCATCTGATAACAACATACTCGTGAAAAATCATGTTCTTTGAAGAATGATTAATTAATCTGATAAGTCTGAGATGATGACAAACGATCCAGAAGGGAAAGAATCAGTCAGCAGGCTGCGCTCCGAGCAAGACCAAACCGCCCCGTTTGGGCTTCCTGGCACAGGCCCCAGGGGCCCCTCGCTTGCCTCTTCTGGCTCTGCCCAGCCCAGCCTCCCCACCTGAGCAGCCCTGTGGCATGCTCCACTTCAGGGGAAAGGAGCTTTGTCCAGTTCTCCCGTCTTCTTTTGTGGATCCCTGTGCATCTTCTAGACCTTTGACACATGTATTGACCTTCTAGACATCTTCAACACACATGCTCTGAATTCCAATGTGCAGGCTTGACATGTGCAGGAACTAGGGGTTTGCTCTACAAATGCAGCCCATCCTTGGCTCCCAAATAGTCAGTGAAACAGAGCCAAGACTGACCCAGCTGCAGATCCTTCCCAAGACTGGTGCTCCTCAGGCCCTCCACTGCCTGGTCAATAGCCACAAACCTGCAAGTGGAACTGGGCCTCCCTCCATCTCTCCACCCAGATCTACCATCAGCAAGTCCAGGCATCCCTTCTTCTAAGGTCCATCCATCTCCTGCATCTTTGCTGCCAGCGCCCCAGCCCACGCCATACTCGCCCCTTGCTTGGACTAGGGCAAGGATGCCAAGGGGACTAAAGAGGCCACAGAGGGACATTGGCATACCATGACTCATTTGACTGTCACAATAACCCTGCTACTTTCATATCCACCTGCCTAACTTGTTTATCTGCCTCTCAACTGTTTCCCAACTTCAATGAAAAAGATGTTGTTTATTAACTCCTCCAAACCTGTTTATGTCTTAGAATTGTATGATATGTGTACTTTTAACACAGAGAGATATATACACATACACGCACACATTTAATTTTTTATGAATTGCTTTTAATTTATAAAGTCAGTGTAAATATGTGTGTTTATAGATAAATAGATTGACACATCTTTAGATGATTTTTAATTTATTGACCTTTGCCAGCTAACACTCTCCCTTCTCACCTCCTCCATGCATGCATCCTGAAGGCCCCAAACTGCAGCTACACCCTCAGACCCCTGCTGGCTGCTGCCATCTGCAGCCTCTCCACCCAGGTACGGATGGCTCTCCCTGCCAGTGTTGGAGAAGTGTCCATCCCTTTGCCCTTGGGTGTGGTGCTCTTCACGCTGCAGTGAGCTGCTGGGGGGCACTGCATGTGTTTGGGGGCCCTGGAGCCCACTGGGCTGGAAGGGCAGGGTTTATTCCTGCCCATGGCCTCTGCTAGTATGCTCCCGAGCCAGAGGGTAAGGCAACCACATGGGAATGGCCCTGACTCGACACTGCACCAACGGGTACAATGGCCTGCTGTGACTGCTTCCAGATACTTTCAGGAGCTACTGACCACTGGAGCCCCCATCCCCAGAAGCAGCTCATGTGGAGAGGGGCTGTTCAGAGGGGGTTCAGAGAGCTTCCAATAGAACTGGAAGGACTTCCAGAAGGAAGCTGCTGAGCTTGGGTTTGGGGTGTAAGCCAGGGAGACCCCACTGCCAAGGGCCCCCAGCCCATTCTGCCTTGGTGATGTCAGCCTTTATACCCGAGGAGAGGATGCTAATCTTCAGGGAACCTTGTGTGCAGTTTAAACAAAAATGAGTCCAGTGGTGATGCTGGGACCCCACAGTTCTGTTGTGTTTATAGAACATGAGCAATGACAGAGAGTCCAGAAGCACTCACTTTCCGTTCACAAGTGTTTCTGCCATTCACAAACTAGATGTCTTAATTAAGATGCTGCTAAAAGAAACAAATCAATTAACAGATCCTGTACAAGATGGTTTATTCTATCTTACACACAGAAAATTGCTTATGAGGATCACATTACAGCTTTAGGTTATCAGTTAACAAATGCTGCTAATGAATAACGTTGGTATCAAGTCAGATAAAAGACGCCCTGGGAATCCAGGCAAATTATTATAACACAACACTTTATTTTAAAATATAGCTCATCTTTCATCACACATTAGAAAGGCAACCCAATCCCAGGAGACCTACTCCTCACAACCACCCCGATGACTGATGAATGGAAAGGCAAAGAGTATTCTGCAATGCAGCCCCAGACCAGTTGGGTTAATATTATAGGGCAGAGAAATGTTCATGGGGCCTGTGCCACAGAACCCCAGATTAATGACAATAATAGAATGACATGGGTTTCCTAAGCCTCTGCCAGTCGTGTCTTCTGTGCATAAGTCATGCACATTGTAATAATAACCCCGAAATAGTTATATAACAATAATAGCTCACATTTGTATAGCTCTCTACAAGGCACAGCATCTGCTTTCTCAGTTAATCCTTTGTTGGCTCCGTTATTTGAAGATCTGCAGAGCTGCAGGCCCAGTCCCCAATCTTTCACAAAAGGACTGGAGACTGCCCCATGGTCTCCATGCTTCAGGGACCCTGAATTTCACAGGGTCTGTCTTTAATATGAGATTCTCCTGACAACCAAGAAGGTGAGGTCAACAGTTCTAGAAGGCGCTGCTTAATGGTTGATAAGATGGTAGTCCAAGGAAGCTGTGTCTTGGGTTTGCTTTCTACTTCCGTGAGCCATTTGCTATGGGAAGGTTCCACTGACATGGACCCTGGGCACCAGACAAGTAGCACGGACTTAGTGGCTTCCCTCTCTTGCCGCTGCTGGCTAACGTGCTCATGTCTCCCTCTACACAGCCAGTTTCTTGCAGAAGAGGAGCAGTATTTTCCTTCAGGACAGAGGCACTGACAATTCTATTCCCTTTGTAATTTGCCTCCCATATTGAGTCCATGCAGCAGCCTTGGGCCTTCAAATTCAAGGCATCCTGAGACTACAACCGTGGGCAGTTGTCCAGATGGCTGAACCCCTCCTGATGTGGCCATTCACAGTTCAATCACTTGTGCATCTCTGGAAAGGAAGGGAACCATCTAGAAGACTTATTGCCAGAGTGACTATATTGTGACTAATCACTGCATGTGCTGACTTGACACACACAATTAAGCAGGTATGAACGTGTGCACCAGCGAATCCCAGCCAGCTAGGGCATTTCCCTGTGCAATGTAGAGAGGGACCTGAAGACCAGTGGCTTCTAGGTCAAGGGAAGAGTGCAACCTGGAGGTTGTTTTCTGCCTACCAAACCTGAGGCACAAAACCTCATCCAATTTGATGATAAAAAAAAGAAGCTATTCTCCAAGATTACTAGGCATATTTGGGGGAAAGTGTCACTTTCTGTGGCTGTAGAGTTTGTACAGATGTAGGCAGATGCTACAAGGAATAAGGTAGATAGACCTATAGGAATGTAACTGGAAAATGACGCTGTCAGGTCTGAATTGCAAGTTGCTATGGAGGGTAAGACTCTTCCTTACTTAGTGGACCAGCTTTGATGGGAGGGAAGGGCAGCATGACGTATAAGAAAAAGAACACAAGAAAAGATGAGATAACCAAGCCAGACCTTTATGCAACAGAGCTCGGGCTGAAAGCTGGTGGCCACCCTCGGCTGAGGGCCTTGCCAACCCTCCATGCATGGAGAGCAAATTCACAGCAGCACTGTGGTTTCACATGAACGCTGTCTACAGCTCTAGTAGAGTGGTGTGTTTATGCTGACATGGAATGTGGGCACCTGTTTATGCCATTCCATTGTGCACTTTCAGTCACAATCTCTTGACATCCAACTGCATCTCTCCATGGAAGAAGGGGCAGCCACAGCAGAAAGACAGAGCAGAGAGAAGCTTCACTGGGAAAAGCCAAATCCCAGGCCATAAAATGGACAACTCATACCTACCTACCTGACGTTTGAGGACCAAGGACACAGGTCAAGGTCAGGGTTACAGAGCTTGATGGCAGTGGAGCCGACACTGAAGACAAGCAAGACACTGGAAACAAGCAAGGCCTCAGGAGGGGAAGTACAGAGAGATGTAGAGAAGGGAATCCAGTGAGGCCCTCTGATGCCACCAGGTGTTTGTGCTTCTCCTTTAAAGGATACTGGGTCCAGAGGAGCATAGAGTTTAAATCGGCTGGTCTAGAGGCCCAGCACTGAGCAGAGAGTTTGTCCCTCCTATTGTCTTTAGCAAGCCTTGCATTAAAAGGCCCCTTCAAGTGTTGTTACAGAGGGGAACTAAAGTTGCTGGACCTGGCCATATTTGCACCTGGGATACTGATGCCCAGAGTGGACAGGCAGCGCCGGAGAGCAGCCTCTTCCCATCCCTGGCAGCCCGAGTGGAGGAAGTGGCACCTGTTGAGCAACCTCATGAATGAAGTTGTTCTTTGACAGGCATCGATACCCCTGTGGATGGGTGTATCACTAGCTGCAAGAGAGCCAGGCACACCTACAGGACAAGGTAAGCTGGGCAGAGGCTGGGATGGCATCTGGCTGCACTAGTAGGTGAATTAGTCTGCATGACACCGTGGGATGGTATAAGGAGAAAGAGCAAGAGACTTTGATTACAGTCACTGGTAAACCTAAATTTTTCACCACATCCTCCAAAAATTATATAGACCAACAAGGAGAGAAGGAAAAATAAATACATAAAACTTATGTACACCTATATACTCTAGTTTGCCTAGGACAGCCCCAGGATACATCTGTTGAAGATGAGTCAATGCCTGCTAATGCTGGAAAGACTTTTGACAAAATCCAACACCCATTTTTTTATTTAAAAAATTCAATAAAATTGAAATGATGGATGCCTCCTTAACATGATGAAATATGTGTGTTTTAGCCCGTAATCCAGCTTCTTACTTAATAGAAAACACTATCAGATTTCCCACCAAGATCAGGCACGAGGCAAGTATGTGCACTGTTTCTACTATTATTTAACATTGGTGGATTCAGCCAATGCAATCAGAGAGGAGAAAACAATTAGAGGCATAAGAACTGAGAAAGAAGATCTACATTTTAGCAGATGACATAACATCATGAAAACTCAACAGTAGCAAAAAGAAAACAAACACAAATAATAAAAGCATTTGACAAGGCAGTGACTATATGGTTAACATCCAAAAAAAAAAAAAAAAAAGTCAGTATGCAATCAATGACCAGGTAGGTAACACAATGGGAAACTCCATTTAAAAAGCAACAAAAATATAAAATACTTGGTAATAAACATAATAGGAAATGTGGAACCCCATAAGAGTAAAATCTGAAAACTCTCCTAAAACACACAAAAACAGACTTGTAAAAAATATCTCTTGTGCACGGAGGACTACTTTTAACATTGCAAAGAAATCAATTCTCTTCAATTTAATATATAAATATAATGCAACTCCAATAAAAATACCAAGATGTTTGTTTCCTTAGAAAGATTCTGAAGTTGATTCTATAGTTCATACGGAACAATAAATATGCAAGAATAGCTGGACTAGAATAGCAAGAATTCACCCCTGAAAAGGAGGCACAATGGGGGAGGGGGAAGGGAGACCAGCCCTGCCAGATGGCAGAGGACACACTGAAGCTTCTGTCAAAAAGAGTGTGGTACCAGCACATGCATAATCACAAGTACCATTGGAGAATAATATAAAGTCTAGGAATAGTCCTAGTACATATGGAAATTTAAAACGTTATTAAGGTGGCAAATGAAACACTGGGGAAATAGGGCAGTTTTTAAAAATAGTATTGAAATAATTGTATTGCCATTTGGGAAAAAAAGGAAATTGGATCTATAGCTCATACCACACACCAGAATAAATGCCAAATGGACCAGATGTCTAAGTAAAAAAAATGAAACTATACAAGTACTCGAAAAAATATATAAGCACATATATACACAATATATAAAAATATTTTTTAATCTTGTAAAAAGTTGTATATATGTAAAAATAATTTTAATTAAATATATTTTTGTAAAAGTAACACAGAAAGGATAAACCAGGAACCATTAAAAATAGTAACTTCAAAGTAGTGGGTGGGGACAGGGCAGAGTGGACAGTTACAGCAGCGAGACTTCTCTGAGTTTATCTGCTCACACCGTTTTACCTTTGAACCATGTACATGTTTTACATATTCAAAAAATAAAATTGAATTAAAAGGATTTTTTAAAAGAGAACAATAAAATAGGATATACACTAAAACAAGCATTTCTGACTTTATATCCAATCGACAGCATAACAGAAAGTAATTACTTCGGTTTGAATGCAATGCTCTGTACACACGTGGGAGGCTAAACCAAAGTGCAAAAAGCACTGTGAAGAAATGTTCAAGTTCACCACGCAGGTTTGTAGCTGTGCAGGGCTGTGATTTCTGGAAGTATTTTGTGTGTTGCACAGGATAGAGCAAATGAGTACAAATATTTATACGGTTGAGAAGAGGGTTTTCACTTCGGAGGAGGCAAGATGGAAAATGGAATGGGGAAAGCTTAGGAAGAACTTTACGGTCCTGAGTTCATAAATTAAATGCATTACATTCCTGATGCCATCCATTGAAAGGGCCTAGAAGCAGTGACACCTCAGGAGCCATGAGTGCACGTTGTGCCCAGAGCGGGTTTCTAAAAATAATTCAGCAGTAAAAAAAGAAAAAGAAAAACAGGTGATTCCAGGTTGGGGCAGTTCAAGGTGAGCCTGAGACACTGTGTTGCATCAGAAGTCTAGCAAGTTCTCAAGAACATACTGGGTCCTGTCAAAAGGGCACAGGAGCCACCAAGAAGTGACTTGCAATGGCCAAATTTGGGATAATTTGAACATCAGAAAGAATCATGATGGTAGTGAGTTAAAATGCATTGGAGGCCATAGCAATAATGCTCAACAAGTAGGAGAACAAAGGGGAAAGCAAAAAGCCCTTGTCCCCAGAAGAATGTCAGCTATGACATACAGAAGGAATGCTGGAACCGGACACAGTATGATGTCACCACCCACAGCAGGAACGGATCCGAGCATGGATCACGAATAGGAGTAAAATCACTGGGTGAGGAGTTGTTGGGGATCAGGATGTTCGCATGGTCTCAAAGTACCACCCCCAAGATTATTTACTAATTACAAAGGGTAAAGTTTTACTCTCTACGAGGCAGAGTTCTAGCCTTCGCTTCCTTTACCAAGCAATCAAACAAAGCGTCACCACAGTGACAAGGCCTGGCATCAAGTCCTCCTGAGACAGCACAATAATAGATATGTCATGACAAAAGAATTTCAGTCTGAATCTGCTCAGGAGGAAAGCATCAGACAAATCCATAAAATGGGACATTATATAAGACAACTGACTTAGGTATGTCAAAAATGACAAAGCCATGGGGAAAAAGGCAGAGGCGTGTGTCATACTGAAAGAGAATAAAAAGAGACAAAATCAAATACAATAGATCCTGGATTGGAAGAAAGATAATTTTGAAACAGAGAAATTTGAATATGGACTGTATAACAGATGATATTATTGAATTAGCATTATTTTTTTCAGGCGTGGTCATTGCATTGTGGTTATGAGATATAATGGTGGTGTATTTATGGGTGAAATACCATGATATCCACACTAATTTCTAAGTGGATCAGCCATAAAAAGGTTGTACCTACAGAGATAAAGCTAATGAGGCCCAGCGTTAGTGAATCTAGACGAAGGGCGTATGTATTTTTTTTGTTGTTTGTTTTGTTGTTTTTTGGTAGCTGGCCCATGCAGGGATCTGAACCCGCCATAAAAAGGTTGTACCTACAGAGATAAAGCTAATGAGGCCCAGCGTTAGTGAATCTAGATGAAGGGCGTATGTATTTTTTTTGTTGTTTGTTTTGTTGTTTTTTGGTAGCTGGCCCATGCAGGGATCTGAACCCTTGACCTTGGTGTGATAAAACCGTGCTCTAACAAACTGAGCTAACTAACGGGCCAGCCCCCTGGTGTTATTTTGACTGCACTGTTCTTTCAACTTTTCTGTGGATTTGAAGATTTTTCAAAAGGAAGGAGGGTGGGAGAGAAGACAAGAGACCAGCCCAGGCCTGTGTGAGGTGAGGGACAGTGGGGCTAGGGAATGTGGATTGTGGAAGAAGAATTTGGATGAAGCCGGTGGAAATGCCTTCTTTCCTAGGAGCAGGACTCATTCGGTCTGGGGGTGGGGTGGGGTGTGAGGTCCCGTTCCCCACTGCAGACCACGCCCTGCACACACAGGCTGTGTCCACACTTAGACCTGAAAGCAGAGCCGAGAAGCAAACACTCAGACAAACCGATAGTGCAATGACACAGAGAGGTTTTGGAATTTTTTTTTTCCATCAAAAGAACTAAATTGGCTAATGGCTAGATTGGTCACAAAGAGAAGGTCTTGGTAAATGAAAAAAAAAAAAATGTTAACTATCCTGCTGTTAAGACCCAGTTTTCTCAGCTCTACATGGGCAAATGCCCTATAGCTTCATTAAATCTTGCTAAAGTACCACTGTTACTGGAGCTTTCCCCAAAGTCCCAAAGTGATGCTGATTGCTGGTATCGTCCTGGCACAAGACTTCTGGCCAACATCTAGCAACCCTCGGCCTGTCCTGCATCGTGGGGCCGGGAAGGTGTGCAGAAGCACCCCCAGCCACTGCAGGGAAATGACTGTCTTCCCTCCTTATTCAGTACAGGTGATCACTCTTGCAACTCACCTTTTGGAGGAATTGAGGTCTAGCCTGCAAAACAAGATAACAGGATGCTCATTAACTAAGTCTTGGATGACGGAAAGCACTTAGAAAGTTTTGACACAGGAGAATGGCTTGCTTGTCCTTAGCTCTTTCTTTTGGGTCTAACCTCCTCATGATTCAGCCTGACTCCATCTAGTGTTAGTTTCGGAAACTTGGATTGTGCTTCCCACCCGTTTGCAGAGGAGCTCTAGGACGGTAGCTGCTAAGCACAGCTCCCTGCATATTGTGAGGGGACTGCATCTCAGGGGTATAAACTCCTTGCCCAGCCATCACCAACTCTTGCAACTCACCTTTTGGAGGAATTGAGGTCTAGCCTGCAAAACAAGATAACAGGATGCTCATTAACTAAGTCTTGGATGACGGAAAGCACTTAGAAAGTTTTGACACAGGAGAATGGCTTGCTTGTCCTTAGCTCTTTCTTTTGGGTCTAACCTCCTCATGATTCAGCCTGACTCCATCTAGTGTTAGTTTCGGAAACTTGGATTGTGCTTCCCACCCGTTTGCAGAGGAGCTCTAGCACGGTAGCTGCTAAGCACAGCTCCCTGCATATTGTGAGGGGACTGCATCTCAGGGGTATAAACTCCTTGCCCAGCCATCACCGCCCAGCCACCCACCTCTCCCCTGCCCTTCATTTTTTCCCTCCCTTCCTCCGCCCACCTGCCTTCCTCCTGCACTCCTCCATGTCCCTTTTCCTGTACTTCAACTTCAAAACGGTTATTGTGCTAGTGCAGCCACCTTGCTTGGCTTATAGAAAATGCCTCCTATAGCCCTGAAGCCTCAAAATAACCCAGGACTTTTTTTTTTTTTCCTTTCTGTCTTTTTTACTGACCGGTAATGGGATCGCAACCCTCAGTGTCGCGCCTGTACCGGGGACCGGCAACGGGATCGCAACCCTCGGTGTTGTGCCCGCACCTCGCTCAGCCAGTGAGTGGGAACCGGTCTATATGTGGGATCCGAACCCTCGGTGGGAGCGCCGCCGTGCTCCCAAGCAGCACACTCTCCAGTGCGCCACCGGGCCGGCCCTAACCCAGGACTTCGAAGCACACTAAGGACACTCATCTTACATGATCGTGCATAGGGACATAAAAAACATAGTGACTGTTCAGTGATGCTTTTTTTCCCCTTTTCGTCTTTTTTCATGACCGGTAACGCGATTGCAACCCTCGGTGTCGCGCCCACCCCGCGCTCAGCCAGTGAGCGGGAACCGGTCTCCATATGGGATCCGAAACCTCGGCGGGAGCGCCGCTTCGCTCCCAAGTGCCACACTCTACCGAGTGCGCCACCGGGCCGGCCCATCAATGATGCTTTTAAATTGGTTTGCGTTGTATTGCTCACAGCAGCATCTTCCCACACACATGTGTGTGTGTCACAGTCATTCATTAGGAATTGTCACATGCACTCACATGCACCACAACACACACATGCACACACAAACACACATGCACACACACACACCCCAACATTAAGTTCCCACACACATGTGTGTGTGTCACAGTCATTCATTAGGAATTGTCACATGCACTCACATGTACCACAACACACACATGCACACACAAACACACATGCACACACACACACCCCAACATTAAGAATCGGGCTTTGTGAAATTTCATTCTGTGTGAATTCCATGACTAAGATGTCCCTAAAGCAAGGTCTGCATCAAGTTTTAAGGTTTCCAGGGACACTGGAGTTTCCACAGCAAAGCGCCTTAACTCAAAGTGCCCCTCAATGCGTGCAGGCAGTTTGGATGTGGAGGGAGCATTGCTGTGCTTCTCTCCACACCTGCCCATGAAGGAAGCATTTGCTCCTGCCACACGCATGCTCGTTGTCTGAAGCTTGCTGGCCAAATGTTTTCCACAATTGCCTGTGCACCCCTGTTCGTACCAGGGTTCCTTCTGCCTGTGTGAGCTTCTCCACATCCTTCCACATGCAGACCATGGTTCACCTGCCCCTCTAGACATGCTGCTTCCCACCTAGCCATGCACCTCTCTGCACCCCAGGACACAAGGCAACACATGCTAAGCCTCATCATAGCATTCCCGTTACACCCTCCCCCTCCTGGGCATCCATCACCTGCGACCTGCCAGTCTCTTCTGTAGACTGAGGAAGCTTGTCCTACTTCTCTCTTCTTAACCCCCCACACCTACTCCATGGCCTCATGCCCATACATTCATTCATTTATTTAACACATACATGAGTGCCCACTCTGTTCTAGGTGCTGTGCTGAGTGTTGGGACTACAGGTATGAAAAGGAAGACTTCACTGCTAAGGAGTTTACATTTTAGGGAGAAAGCCATCAAAAAAGACAGATTAATATGTCATGTAATGTCAACTAGTGGAAAGAACTATAAGTAAATAAAGCCAGAAAAGGGAAAGAGAGTGATGGCTGGGGTCAGAGGGTGAGGTTCTGTGTTAAACAGACCATCCGAAATGAAAAGGTGCCATTAAAGCAGAAATGTGAAGGAAACGAGGGGTGAGGCTTGCAGCTACCTGGGTGACAAGCATTATGCATGACACAAAACAGCAAGTGCAAAGGCTCTGGGGCAGGACTGTCCATGGAGGACATGGGCATATGCAGAAGAGCAGCGTGGCTGGATACCAGCACAGAAGCTAGGTAACCTGTGCAGACCATGTGTGGCCTTCCAAGGAGGTCATGGCAGGGGCTGGGGACCTCATTCTGAGTGCAGGGGGATACACTGGAGAGTTCTGAGTGGGAGGGTGGGGCAGAATCTAACTCAGCATGTGCAGAGGCAAGCCTGAGCTCCCTGGCTACTGTGCCCTGTAGCCCCCATTCTCATGACACCTGCATGCTGGTCTAAGGAGGGGAGAGTGAGAGGAGGGGGCTGGAGCATGCATTCTAGTCCTCTAGAAAGTGTGCCAGAATGCAAAGAAGGACTGGGATGACAGGCAAGGGAGTGGAATGGCTACGACAGAAGGGAGAACATACCCTTCACCCACCGCATTGGCAGCAGCCTTACCTTGGGGCTCTCTTCTTCAGCAGGACGGTGTCTACACAGAGAAAGCAGGGCATTAGCAGGAAGACCCTGTGCCCATGGTGCAGTTCGCCCAGTGCCCCAGCTGACAAGCAGGAAGGGGTCAAAACCAACCAGGCTCGGGCAGTGCTGAGAAGCTCCCTGGGTCAGGGGTGCTTGCTGGGAAGTGGTCTTTGGCTGATGCTCTGCCCCCAGCTTTGGTGCTGTTGGAGCTTCTCTATTCAGATCCTGTCCCTGTACCCCTTTAGCTGGGCACATAGGTGGGACTGAGCCACCCCTAGAGCCCTCCCTGTCTCCCTCCATGCCCCTTCCAGGTGCAGCTCCCAGGCCCTCTCTCATTCACTGAGGTCTTCAAGAGATCCAGGCCTACTACTCTGTGGTGGAGAGGCTGCTTTCCCCCTCTTCTGTAGGGCTGTGAAATCGAGGATCAGCAAACTCCTGTGACCAATTAAACCCCAAGTGCTGTGCCTCTTCTCCAGGCCACCCCTTCTGTATAGCTTCATAGATCACAATCACACATGCCAGAAACACAGTGAGGCTCCCTCCTCCTCATCCCAGAAACACCACACAGAGGACGACACTCTCACTGCATTCAGCAGTTTAATCCCACGTTTTTGGTGGAGACTCCTCAAGAGAGGGAGGAGACAGATCAAAGTTGCATTTCACTGTTGAAACTTGCAAACTGCTCAGCGTCTGCTCTGGAGGTCTTTCCCTGCAGGTGCCATGGGATTCAAGAGCCATGCTTTGGTTCACACAAGCCCAGCTCTGCCTGGATTGTGAGGGTCCACTCAGCACTGCCCTGAGTGAGACTTGTGTGATTTATAAAAGAAAAAAGCAACTTGGCCCACATTAGCAGCACCAGCAGCACCTCCCATCACCCACCCCTGCTGCGTTGCCTCTTGGATTGATTTTATCTGATCATACCATTTGGAAACCAAGGTCAGCTCCTTATCCCACCTTTCTCAGGAACAGCAAGAGCAACTGAAGGGGAAAGTACAGAGAGAGAGACAGAGAGAGAAGGAAAGACAAAGAGAGGAAAAGAGACAGATAGAGACAGAGAGAGAAACAGAGACAGAGACAGAGGGAAAGAGACAGATGGAGAAAGAGACAGAGAGAGAGAGACAGAGTAACTAAGATGGAGAAAGAGACACAGAGAAATATATAGAGAAAGACAAAAAAGCAGAGACAGAGACACAACAGAGACAGAGAGACAGAGACAGAGATGCTAGAGGTCGCTGCATGTCTTTTCAGCTGGCAGCCTGTTGGGATCTGTGCCGGCTGTTTTCCTTTCTAGCCTGGGTTGTGGAGCTGCCCCCACCTCTTGCTGGGCAGCTGCCTGGGGCACTGTCCTTCCTCAGGCAGGACAGAGCCAGGCCTGAGCATCCAGGTGTCTTACCACTGAGGCCCGGGGGTGTGTTTCTCAGGTCTGAAGAGTCGTTATCAAACAGGTTCCTCCTGATCATGCAGATCTTCAGGGCCAGGAAGCCAGCTGATATGGCGACACCCACCGCAGTTCCAATGATGGCATACTTGAAATCTGAAGCACAGGGAGGGACTGAACAAGGGCTTCTATCCCCACCCGCCAAGGTCTTCTACAGCTCCCCCTACATTCTGGATGGAGTCCAAAGTCATGCACGTGGACCTGAAAGTTCCATGCTTGCATCGCTGAAGCCAGCGTATTTTCCACTCTCCCAGGAGCCCATTCGCTCCCAGCCCTTCACCTGCGCCCCATCCCCTCTTCCTGCAATGCTGTCTTGGTCCCTTCAGCTGTGGAAATCATTCCACCTTTTGAAGGTCGTACAAGCTCGGCCCTGATGGGACCTGCCCCCTCCATCCCCAGGAGGCAGGTGGCTCATGTCACTGGTCCCAGCAGCCCTTCTGCATGTGTCCCCTCATCGATTCATTGATTCATTTACTAAGAACGTGTTAGTCACCTACTCTGTGCCGAGGCTGAATGCAGGTGAATAAGACCCCATGTTTAGGAGTCTGCAGTCAGCTGGGGAAGACAGGCAAAGAGCTCACTCTGCTGTCACATAAGGCTGGGCTGGTGTGGGAGTCATAGGAGTCAGGAGCTTTCTCTGAGGAGGTGACCCACAGTTTGCACCTTGCTGGTGAGGTGAGCCCTGAGCTGGGGAGGAACTGGGGGCTGCGTGGGTGGAGGGTATGCACGTGAGAGGGCCCGGGAGCATGGCAGAGCCTGTTGCTGGGGACTCCCAGCTGCAGTGCAGGGCACTGAGGGCACTGGAGCTGCTCCTCTGGCACTGAGAGCAGACAGAAGTGGCCCTGGTATCTCACGTCCCCTTTGAGGACAGGTTGTAATGCAGGCCCTTGCCCCCAGGATAAAGCTTTTTTAGCCATGCAGGTGGGCCTGCAGGTGAGCGTGGGCCTCCTTCCTGCCCCACAACCCTGCTCATAGGATAAGCTGGGCAGCCACCTACCGATTTCAGTCTCAGGAGACTTGCCTGTTGCCAACAATTGAGCTCCTCCAACATCTGCACAAAAAGAAAGCGCAGAGCCTGGTTAGAACAGGGCGGGCTGTGATCAGGTTGGGGTCACAGGCCAAACCCGTGTCCCCAGCCACTCACCCCCACAGGTCTGGGCCAACCTCAGGAGCACAGAAGTGGGCTCTTGGTTGCCACACCATGTCTTGAAGCCTTGCAGGGATGTTAGGGCCCTCCTCAAAACCCGGACCAGGAACGTGGTGTCATCAAGTTCAGTTAAGCCAGCTCTTCACATGGTCTCCAAGACCCACACTCTGGCCCTAGCCTGCTCCACAGCCCTCCTGGTCCAGGTGGCCGGCCCTGCTTCTAGCTCCCCACCCAGGAGGGCCCCTCCTGCCTCTGGGCTGCTCCCTCTGCCTGGCCCCATCTCCTCTCTTCTCCTCCTGTACCTGCTCTCGGTTCCGTGTCACTTCCTCCCTGACCCCTGCACCTGGGTTAGCTGCCCCTCCTGTGCGCCCCATGGCCACTGCGCTTACCCATCCTAACTGACCACCCTGATGCTTATTTAACAACATTCACATCGCCTTCTGTGCACCTGGCACAGAGCTTCTCAGTTATTAGCCCACTGAATGCATCTTCTTGCTGGTCTCCCCATGGAGCTGTACAGCATGGTGTCCAAGGTTTGGGGCAGTGCCAGGCGCATAGGAGGTATTAATAAGCATCTGCTGAATGAATGACAGTAATCGAGCATGCTGTGGGGGTGCCTTGCACTTCTAGCCAGGGCTTGAACCTTCACACAGGAGAGACCACTCACAAACAGGGCCCGTGGTCCCACAGATGAGCCCAGAAGAGCTACAACCGAGCTGTGGGCCTTGGAGAGGAAGGCATACACTAATGGGCCACTTACTTTGGTACTGACATTGGGTGCAGACCTGGCATTAATATACTTAATGTTCACAGCAGGGACTCTGAGAGACAGGCACTGTTATCATCACCTTTTAAGGAATGAGGAACTAGAGGCATCAGGAATCTGGTAAAGTGCCCAAGCCCAAGAGAAGTGGGACATGGCAAGGCCAGAGCTTGAGCCCAGCCACCTGCACCAAGGGCCCCAAAGCCCTACAAACATGAATCCGAGGAAGCTAAGGAGTATAAAAATACCCAGACCAAGGGCTGTACAGGCTCGGGCTGGGGGTGGCTCAACGGGGAGACCCAGCCCTGATCCTCATGCTCAAACTTCCAGGCAAAGGCAGAAGGAGAAAGTCCCACAACCTGTTTCTCTTCGTTGGGAAAGACCAGCTCTTTCTCCGCTCAGCTCCAGGAGGAGTCCACCTCCGAGTCCTGACCTCCCAGAGGTTTTATGATAGTGGGGGACCCTGCTCGCCAAAGCAGCAAAGACGTCCTCCACGCAACCGTGTCTGCTGGCCACCTTAACAATGCCTGGGTAACGTGCTGGCTGCAGCTCCACAGAGGACAGCTTTGTTCTGTGTGTGCCAGGGAGAGGATCACCCTAACAGAGCACAGGATTTTTCTGACAGCCTAACTCAGTAAACAGATAAAGCTTGGGGATTCTGAAGCAAAACTTCACAATCTTGCTCTAATCTCAGGTTCTTTTGGAAATTTGATGACTTCTCTCTTTCCTGCAGAAAGCCCCCTGGTAGGGCACATCCACACACACACAGACACCACCGCTCACAATATGATCCTGATCTTGTCAGACCTCTGCAGCCCCAGTGAGCTTCATCATATGGTCTCTCATGCTTTCTTTAATTAATCCTGCTGCTGCAGCTAGGTTGCAAACTGTTGCAGAGACAGGGCAAAGCCTGACGCCCTAAACTCAGAGCCGCATGTGCTACAACCTCACCTTGGACCGCACCGTCTCCTGACACCTCTGGCCTCTCTCTGCCTTGACTGGACAGAGGCAGGGGGATGGGGGAGGCCAGGGCATCAGCCAGTTGGACCAGGTCCTTAAGAGACAACTCATCCCTGTCCCTCACACGCTAACATCTTTCCCAGTTGCACCTCAGGGGTGATCATTGCCCTTGTCACCCTTAGTGACCATTGCCCACCACGTGGAGCATACAGCACAAAACTTTATACCAGCCTGAGGAGAAACTTGAACAGAGAAAGAAGAAAGGACAAAGATTAGAAAGAGGGAGAGAGACAAGCAGTCAGAGACGCAAGAGAGAAGCACACGTAGACATACACACAAGGACGCACACAGAGGCTCTGCCTTAGCAGCTCATACCACCGGTGTGAGGAGGAAAAAGAAAGGGGCAAAAGCCCCTAGTATCAGAAAGCCCAGCCCGGCCCTGTCCCGACAGCAGCCACCCTGTCCTCACAGGCTGCCCAGCTCCCCTCCTCATCAGCCTCGCCCAGCAAACGTGCTGTCCCAGCACTCGGCTCTTTCTGCCCCTCCCTGTGTCAGGCACCCACGGCTGGGGCTCAGCTCCCCCCGACAGGGGCAGGCCCCTGAGACACCGCCCTCTGAGCTCCATATGTGTCCCTTCCGAGCCGTGAAGCTTCCCTAATCCCTAGCCCCATCTGGGAGCTCTGGGCCGTCAGCTCTGCTCCCTCGGGTCTGAGTTAGGGACCGAGGGAACGCCCTCCGTGGGGCCAGCTGCAGGGAGACAAACGCGGGCCGTGGACCAAGCTGTGCTGTGTGCTCAAACAGGCGACGTCCCAGTAATCCCTGCTAGCCAGCCCCATGGCCACTCGGCGGCAGCCTTGCCCCTCCTCAGGGAGGGAAGTCCTCCCTGCAGCCCTCCCCGTACTCCAGCTCCGACCCTGTGCGCTAACGAGCCCCTGGGTGAGGATTCACCCTGAACACGCCACCTCCGACTCCTGCCCGGGTCACAAGCTGGGGGAGTCCCTCCTGCACCCTAGACCCCTGCCAGCCCCCTGCGCTGATCTCCCCTGGCTCTGCAAAGTAGCTGGAGGATGGATGCCCTAGCAGGGCTCACCTGCCAGCACAGCCAGAGGGTCCAGAACACTCCGCACCGTGTTCAGATCTGCAAGACACCCCGGGAAGAAGCCACGCAGGCCAGCAGGAGCCATGCTGCACTTTCTCTGCTGGAATCCTCTGGGCCTTCAGGCAAAAAGGAGGAGGGAGCTTGGCACTCAAAGGAGGATGGGCTCTCAGACCAAGGGGGCTGAGCAGGGGCCAGCTGTACAAAAGCTGGTCTCTCTGGGGGTGGAAGGGGTGAATGCAGGCAGCCTCTGAAGAGCAGATTCTCTGAGGCAGTAGGAGGCACAGCACTGGCCAAGTCTGGCTCGACCCCATCCAACTGCCATCACCAGCCCTGTGAGCCCCTTCCCTTGACTATCCACACTGTCTGGGTACAAAGAGCCTGAAGCCTGAGCATGGCCCTGGCCGCTGCCTAGAGCAGAGAGCAGGGGCTGCCTCCAGACGGGCTGCCGAGATTGTGGGTTCCACAGCCTCCCGTGCACAGACTCCACGTGTGGTCGGCCGGACCCTGAGCACAGGAGTTCTTTCCACCATACACAAAGGCGCTCTGTGGGCTCTTGATTCTAGAGACCCTGCTTTCTCCTTGATGCCCCGTTTAGACCTGATACTCTGCCCCTCCCTACCAAATTGGTGGGTTCCAGCCCCCTCTCAGACCCCCTCCCACCTCAGGCCTGCTCTGTAAGTGGCTTCCCCACAGCGCAGAGCTTCCTGCAAGAGTAAATGGCCCTGAGGCCTTGTGGTCCCCAGCAATGCGAGTGGGCAGCCACATGCTGCCTTCAGAGGAAGATGGCAGGACTCCTCCAAGCAAGCAGAGTGAGTGAAGGCGCAGCATGGCCTTGCCCCATCTTGGTTGGAATCTGACCGCTGAGAGCCCATCCCTGGCATCCAGACTTCTCTGGGCTGGCCATCTGTTGGGCCCACCCTCAACAGGGGACTGACACTCTTTGCCATCCTTATTTGGGCAGAATCAGGCTGTGCAATTCCCAGTTGTGGGCCAGTGGGTGTGCATGCACTCAGATGTCATTCTATAAGTATCTGAACTAAAAATAGGGAGAGGCTGCCCTAAGTGTTTGCCAATTGATGCTGGCCACATGCATCTTGGAACTTAAATATTGCAGAATGGCTCCTAACTTTAGACCTCATGAATTCCCACATTCTCGGCTAGAGGAAGTGGTTTGAAGTGTCTAGAGGGGGCATCCATCATCTCCTATGAGAGTCCACGCATATAAATGAAGGACCTGCAGGGTGGTCTGGAGGACCTTGGTGCCCAGGGGAGATCTAAGAGCAACCAAAGACCCATGTTCCCCATGAAGGAGCTCACAGGGCAACAGGGTAGACTAGATTTCCACTAAAGAATAGGTCAGAGTGTCACAGGTGTTGCTCAGCACCTTCCAGCAAACCTGTCTCTACAAGCTGGAGGGGAACCAGGAACTTGTGGTAGGCGCGTGTTGTGTAGCCTGACCCCTCCCCACACCCTGACCCCTCTTCTCCTAGCAGCACCCTGGTTTTCCTCTGGGGAGCCACCTCCATGTGACTCCTACAGGGCTGGCTCCAGGATGGGCGTGTGAACCATGCTGATCAGTTAACATATTTCTTCTTCCCATCAGTAGTGATTGTTCGAGAGGTGGAGCGAGTGATCTAATTCAGCCAGTAAGTCTCAACTCTGGGGCTTTGGGGAAAACACTGAGAAACAGGAGTATATTCTGGAATCAAGCACTGTGGGACCAAGGGAGGCCTGAAGCTGCCCACTGGGTAGAGGGAACCTGCTAAGGCTGAAGTTCCCACTTAAGAGGGTCATCCTAGAAATGGTGTTTGAGCCCCTGGATCCAGCCATGCCTGAAGCACCTCTCCCCTCCCCCTGGACTTTTCAGTCCCCTCAGTGAGGAAATGCCTTATTTTTCTTAATCTTATCTGAGCTAAGTAACTGTCATCTGCAATCTGGAGAATCTGATGCAGGTCCTGATAGAGAATCACTGGAAATCAGGTGGGTGAGGCAGAGGTGGGAGCGGAGAATACTGGCTGTGAACAAGAAGTGACAGAGCCCAGCCCTGAATAAAGCTGAGTAGGACCTGCAGCGGGGCGGCCCTGGGCACTGCTGGGCCTCTGTGTCTGCTGCTCTCTTTGATACAATTCCTTTCCCTTGTCCCCGTGGAAAGTTCCTACTTATCCTTAAGCCTTAGCATAAAAGCCACCTCCTCTGGAAGTCTCCCTTGCTCTCCGTTGGTCCAGGGTCACCCCTGCCACCTCGCCATACCTCTCCCCTGTGCTGTTTGAAGGGTCTGCATGTTGCTCTGTGGCACGAAGGACACCCAGGGTGAGCTGTTTCTCCCCAGCACCAGGATGGTATGAGACCCCTTGGAACCTGGATTCTTCTCCTGGGAGATGCAGGAAAAGATGGGAAGAGAGAATCCTGAACTGACTGAGTGGTTACCCCAATGCTACTGAGCACTAAACCAGAAGTGGTTTAAAGTGGTAAGGTCAAGTTTCTGGTACTGAGCGATGTGGGGTTTCCGGAGTCAGTAAAGGTCAGCCACAGAGAAACAAAGTGCGTGCCAGCACTGCACGCATGACTCCGGGAGTCCGAGCACGAGATGTGGCTGCTGCCGCTGTGAAAGCCTCCACCTTCCCAGCAGTGTGCGAGAGGGGCTCAAGAAAGAACTTGGACCTGCAGAGTCAGCCGATGGTCCAGCCATGCTTCACAGCACTGTGTGATCCCAGATCCTGCCTTCCTCACCTGCAAATGGGGGTGCAAGACCCTGATGTCTAGAAAGGACTCAGCAGAGACAGCCTTCCTTTCTGCCCATGTGTCCTGAGCCTCCCTGCAAGGTGGGCTGACCTTGGAGGTCACACTGTTGTAATGCAGCTGGTCTGGGGGTGGGGGTGCCGGCTGCCCTTCCCATCCTCAGAGTTCAGAAAAACAGGGCACTGGCCCTCGCCCTTCCAGCCCTCCACGGGCAGTTGAAAGCTGGAAATGAAGTGTGTCTACCGCAAAGGCAGTGGCGCTCTCCAGCAGAGCATCGGGGGACAGAGGAGCTGGCCTCGGTTGGTCCTCCTGTTCCCAGTGCCCGCTAGGCTTCTGCTGGAGCCTAGAGCTTCTTTGGCATGGCCACAACTTGCAGAAACCTCAGACTCCCCATCACAAGCCCAGAAACCAGCTGAAATTGCTCCTCCTTGGTCACCTTCTTGCAAGAGCTTGACTCTAGCTGCCAACCTTCAGGTAAACAGGACGTTTATCACCCCCTTCCATGGCTATCTGTGCTCCTTTCTTTCTGTGAAAAGACCGAGACTTGGGGCAGAACCCAAGCCCACGTGGCAGAGCCTCATGGGTCTGAGCCAGAGCAAACCACGGAAGAACGGAGCACAGAGCAGGGAGGGCTCAGGGGACGGTGGGGCCTTTGGTACCTCGTTGGTTTTCCTGGACCCCCATCCACAGAAAGAGAACACATGTGGAGTCAGAGCAGCCCACGTGCTCTGCACACCTAGTGGCTCCTGCTCTAGTGCCCGGGAAGTGGGCAGCGAGTGAAGACTTCCACACCCAGGACATCCTGTGGACGCACGGCAGCTCACAGTGACTAGCCAGCCAGGAGGACCAAGGGGGGTTCTAACACAGCCGAGGGTGTCAGAGAAGCTGCCCTGGAGAGGTCATAATCTAAGTTAAAAACGAGAGGACTACTAGGAGCTAGTGGGGACAAGATGAGCTGGGTGGGAGGGGTGGGAACGGGGTCCGGCTGGGAAGGTGTCCGGGCAGAGGAAGAGGCGCCGGCAAAGGCCAGGAGGCTTGCAGCGGGCTTGGTTATGAAGAAGCCGGCTTGGAGAGGGTGGAGCAGCCCGGGACACTGTGGGCAGATACAGGTCCTGGACAAGCAGAGGGGAGAGTCCCATGGCTGGCCTCAAGGGACTGTAGCCAAACCGGCCACACTGCTCCACGGGGGTGGCAGGTGGCCCTGCTCACACTTTGCCCACTCCAAGGCCTCTGCACTCTCCCCCCGCCCCACGCCACCTTGGGCCTGGGTAAGCTGAGGCTCTCCACGCTCTCCAGAGTCAGTGAGGGCACAGCCAGCCAGGACACCACTGTCCTGGGCAGAACTGGAAGCAGTAGGCCACGCTAGGCCACCGGGAAGACGGAGAGGCCGGCCGAGGCAGGGACGCACAGGGACAGCCTCCAGCTTCCAGAAATAGCACCGGGACGAGGAGGAAAACAACAGCACGGTGACCAGACGGCATCCAGCTTGTGCCCACTTTGTTTTTCCTGAGCAATCTTTGCTAATTAATTCTTAAAGATTCACACACTGGGATTAAAACACTCAGCTCGCAAAAGCCAAACTGATCAATATCTTTTCAGGCTAATGGAGGGGCTGGAGTCAGGAACGGCTCAGCGTGAGGTAGAGCCTGGCGGGGGCGCTCTGGGTGCTGGGAGCTCTTCCAAAGGGGCAGGGCCTCCCGGGGTATCCCAGGTCCACTCTGACCAGAAGGTGGTGACATGTGGGAACACTAAGCCACGCCTGGCAAAGCTGCTGAAGCGTCAAAGGAGATGGGGGTACAGGAAGGAGAGGAGCTTGGGGTTGTCCTTGTGGGGTGGACAGTGATGTCCAGAGAGAGCCAGATGAGAGCACCCACAGCTGAACACCTGCCAGCCCACACTCACTGTGGGGTGGGCTTGCTCCATCTTCAGACCTCTTTGTGGGGACCTGAAACCTCCCTCAGACCCTATGGTGGGCGGGAAGGAAGGATGTTTGGAACACGGAGATATGAGTCCCCATTCTGCCACCCATTGCTGGGCTGGTGGCCTTGGCCAGACAGGACAAGGCCACAAGCTTGGTGGACCCCTCTGCAATGGTGCTGGTCATGCAGTGTGGCCGGGCAGCCCCCTGAAGGTGAGTGTGCAGAGTGGCTCGGCACACCACCTGCTGCAACGGGTGTTCTCCACCTTCCCAGGGACCACAGGAGAAGCAGGGAACAGAGCACGCAGGAGGCGGCTCTCGGAGGGGCTCAGATCATAAGGGGGGCCCTCCCCCGCGAGCAAGGGCACAAGTCTCTGTTCGGAGAAGTGGCCAAGCCGAGGCCTCCCGAAGCCTGCATGATTCCAGCA